ATACTATGGACTGGTATTAGATCTGCTCGTGTTAGGTCTCCAACGAGCTAGCGAGATGGCCGGCCCACCACAAATGCCAAACGACTTTTTGACATTTCAGGATGTCGCCTCCGAAACGGCGCATCCTATTCGATTGTACTGTCGCTACGTCGACAGAATACATCTGTTCCTGCGCTTCTCTGCTGATGAAGCGAGAGATCTTATTCAGCGTTATCTTACTGAACATCCTGATCCGAACAATGAGAACATTGTTGGTTACAACAATAAGAAATGTTGGCCGCGAGACGCCCGTATGAGGTTGATGAAGCATGACGTGAACCTAGGTCGCGCCGTTTTCTGGGACATCAAAAATCGACTACCACGTTCCACCACTACCATTCAGTGGGAGAATAGCTTTGTCAGCGTCTATAGCAAAGACAATCCCAATCTATTGTTCAACATGAGTGGCTTTGAATGCAGAATTCTGCCCAAATGTAGAACAACTCACGAGGAATTTACACATCGGGATGGCGTCTGGAATCTCCAGAACGAAATCACAAAAGAGAGAACAGCGCAATGCTTCCTGCGTGTTGACGATGAGAGCTTGCAGCGTTTCCACAATCGTGTCAGACAAATCTTGATGGCCTCGGGTTCAACTACTTTCACGAAGATCGTAAATAAGTGGAATACTGCATTAATCGGTTTAATGACTTATTTCAGAGAGGCAGTGGTGAACACACAAGAGTTATTGGATCTGCTAGTCAAGTGTGAAAATAAGATTCAGACACGTATTAAAATCGGATTGAATTCCAAAATGCCATCGCGTTTTCCACCTGTCGTCTTTTACACGCCCAAGGAATTGGGAGGTTTGGGAATGTTGTCGATGGGTCATGTATTAATACCGCAATCAGACTTGAGATGGTCGAAACAAACCGACGTGGGCATCACTCACTTCCGTTCAGGTATGAGCCACGATGAAGATCAACTGATTCCGAACTTGTATCGTTACATACAGCCGTGGGAATCAGAATTTATCGATTCTCAACGCGTTTGGGCAGAATACGCCCTGAAACGGCAAGAGGCCAACGCCCAGAATCGCAGACTCACTCTGGAAGATCTCGAGGATAGCTGGGATCGCGGTATCCCCAGAATAAATACGCTATTTCAGAAGGACCGACACACGCTGGCCTATGACAAGGGCTGGCGCATTCGCACCGAATTCAAACAATATCAGGTGTTGAAACAGAATCCGTTTTGGTGGACTCATCAACGTCATGACGGCAAACTATGGAATCTGAACAACTACCGAACTGACATGATTCAGGCGCTCGGCGGTGTCGAGGGCATCCTGGAACATACTCTCTTCAAGGGAACCTACTTCCCGACGTGGGAGGGTCTGTTCTGGGAGAAAGCATCTGGTTTCGAAGAATCCATGAAATACAAGAAATTGACAAACGCTCAGCGTTCCGGTCTCAACCAAATTCCCAATCGTCGATTCACTCTATGGTGGTCACCCACCATTAATCGCGCCAACGTTTACGTCGGTTTTCAAGTGCAGCTCGATCTGACGGGGATATTCATGCACGGAAAAATACCAACTTTGAAAATCTCGTTGATCCAGATATTCCGCGCTCATTTGTGGCAAAAGGTACACGAATCCATTGTGATGGATCTTTGCCAAGTGTTCGATCAAGAGTTGGATGCACTAGAAATTGAAACTGTACAGAAGGAAACGATACATCCACGAAAGTCTTACAAAATGAACTCCTCATGCGCTGACATTCTACTATTCTCTGCCTATAAATGGAATGTGTCTCGACCATCTCTTCTCGCCGACTCCAAAGATGTGATGGATAACACGACCACGCAAAAATATTGGATCGATGTTCAATTGAGATGGGGCGATTATGATTCGCATGACATCGAGCGATATGCTCGTGCGAAATTCCTTGATTATACTACGGACAACATGTCCATCTATCCATCACCCACTGGTCTCCTCATAGCTATCGATCTGGCATACAACTTGCATAGCGCTTACGGTAATTGGTTTCCTGGTTGCAAACCACTTATACAGCAAGCCATGGCAAAGATTATGAAAGCAAATCCAGCCTTGTATGTGTTACGTGAACGTATTCGCAAGGCGTTGCAGTTATACTCATCTGAACCGACGGAGCCTTACCTCTCCTCGCAAAACTATGGCGAGCTCTTCTCCAATCAGATTATATGGTTCGTTGATGACACGAACGTGTATCGCGTGACTATCCACAAAACTTTTGAGGGTAATTTAACAACAAAGCCGATAAACGGTGCAATCTTCATCTTCAATCCACGCACGGGGCAACTCTTTTTGAAGATTATTCACACCTCTGTCTGGGCGGGCCAAAAGCGTCTGGGTCAGCTGGCCAAATGGAAGACCGCTGAGGAAGTTGCTGCGCTGATTCGTTCTCTACCAGTAGAAGAACAACCAAAGCAGATTATCGTCACCAGAAAGGGAATGTTAGATCCACTGGAAGTGCACTTGCTGGACTTCCCCAACATAGTCATCAAAGGATCTGAGTTACAATTACCATTCCAGGCATGTCTCAAAGTCGAGAAGTTTGGTGATCTGATTTTAAAGGCAACCGAGCCACAGATGGTACTATTCAATCTTTATGACGACTGGCTGAAGACAATCTCATCTTATACTGCGTTCTCACGACTGATTCTGATCTTACGCGCTCTGCATGTCAACACTGAGAGAACCAAAGTCGTCCTCAAGCCCGACAAGACTACTATCACCGAGCCACATCATATATGGCCATCACTGACGGATGACGAATGGATTAAAGTAGAAGTACAACTGAAAGATCTGATTCTAGCAGACTATGGCAAGAAAAACAATGTCAATGTTGCGTCGCTCACGCAATCCGAGATTCGCGACATCATTCTGGGTATGGAAATAAGTGCTCCATCTGCGCAACGGCAACAAATTGCCGAGATTGAAAAGCAGACTAAGGAACAGAGCCAATTGACCGCTACCACCACGCGAACAGTAAACAAACATGGTGATGAGATTATTACTGCGACTACATCCAACTATGAGACACAGACTTTCAGCTCTAAGACTGAGTGGCGAGTACGTGCTATCTCTGCAACCAATCTCCATCTCAGAACAAATCACATCTATGTTTCATCCGATGATATCAAAGAGACCGGTTATACTTACATCTTGCCTAAGAATGTATTAAAGAAATTCGTTACCATTTCCGATCTGCGAGCGCAGATAGCTGGCTATTTGTATGGCATCAGTCCACCTGACAATCCTCAGGTAATTATTGTTAAATCATTTCATCATCTATTTGAAATATTTTTTAATATATAAACAATTTTTTCGTTTTATTTTATATATTACATTTATATAATATTAAAAAATTTTATTTTATATATTAAAATTTAAATCAATTTTAGCTGTAATATACTCTAATCTCATGTTCTAAATGTGCTAGGTAAAAGAAATCAGATGTATTGTAATGGCGCCGCAATGGGGAACTCATCAGACCGTTCATTTACCAAATACGCTACCTAACCATCAATATTTAAAAGAGATGGAACCGCTAGGATGGATACACACGCAGCCAAACGAGCTGCCACAACTCTCGCCGCAGGACATATCCACTCACGCCCGGATTATGGCGGAGAATTCCATTTGGGATGGCGAGAAGACCATAGTTATCACTTGTAGTTTCACGCCTGGTTCTTGCTCTCTCACAGCGTACAAACTAACTCCGAGTGGTTTCGAATGGGGCAAGCAAAATACTGATAAGGGCAACAATCCGAAGGGTTATCTACCTAGCCATTACGAGAAGGTACAGATGCTTTTGTCCGATCGTTTCCTTGGCTTCTTTATGGTACCCAGTCAAGGCTCGTGGAATTACAATTTTATGGGCGTGAGACACGATCCCAACATGAAATACGAGTTACAACTGGCGAACCCAAAGGAATTTTATCACGAAGTGCACAGGCCGGCCCATTTCCTCAATTTCTCAAGCTTGGAAGATGGTGACGGTGTTGGAGCTGATCGAGAAGATATGTTTGCGTAAAATAGACTCCTTGTTTAAGATTTTGACAGTAATTGAAAGAAGTGTAGGATGTGTACAAGTAGCGTGTGAGAGTACGTGTAATGTTCTTTATTTTTTACTTTTCTCGTCTAATTATTGTACACATAGACGATTACAAACATATGTAATAGTAAGGAATACAGATTAAGCCTTTATTACCTAACGATTGCAGACTTTGAGTGAACACTGTGCTTTTACTCTCCTGATAATTCTGTCCATTTGATTTTCTATATTTTGTCTTATAGGTGCATATTAAATGCAGATGCACAACTATTAAACATTAAACGAGTGATTATGATGGCACTTATACAGAAATATTCTGTGACCGTAAGCGGTGAAGAGCTATATTGTATTATCTAATGCGATAAATGAAATGCAATTCCAGAAATCTTTATTGACAAATACATTTCATAATAAATCAATGGAATCTTAAATTAAATATGGAGATGGTCGATTTAAAATCTATCTCAGTGCAAGGATTTTCAAGGTACATATGTAATACTATCACATGTATATGATAAAATGTACGGGTGATTTGATATAGGTCGATATTCATTTTATACTTTCGTTCCACAAATATAAAATATCGTTTATAAACGTCATTTAATTACCATATAAATATTTATTTAAAAATATATATTTTTAATATATATATATATTTTTTTTTTTCTTGAATTCGTTTAATAATATTAAACACTTATATGTGCGGTGGAAATGAAGACCAAGTGTCAATATAATAAAAATAAATATTTAAACGAGAGAATGTAAAAGATAGTTATGCGCGTATAATGTGTTACGAGTCGAAGTTAAAATTAGTAAAATTATCCGTAGCCTTTTTATCAAAATGTTATCAATGGTGTATAATAATAATGAATCATATATATTAAAATAAAATTTATACAAAATTATGGCATACGACAGTCAATGTATATAATACACAATAATGCTTTTATCATTTTAATGGAGACGAAAATAGATGCAAAGTAATTTCCCAGGTAGCAAGTTGTAGTTACTTTGACGTCAATAGTTAGTCATTTTAAATTACTGACGTCATTTATCCATTCTACGACGTATTTACAACGTCATACTTATACTTATTGACGTTAGATAAATGACTAATCGATGGTACATTGATAACGTTATTAGTGATCAATTAATAACATTATTAATAGCACGAAAATGATAATACGTATTTTTGACGTCGGTTTGTATGGCATTATGTGGCTGTAACAAATCTACGTTATTTTTACAACGATAGGACGTCTGATTTGTCGAGAACGATTAATTAATTACGTCATATAGACACCTATCAAATAGATACCTTTCTACCCGAGTTGATTGATTTCTTTAATCATCTTTGGATTGCAAAAAAGATAAAAAAACTTGTAAGTACATTTTAAAGGAATAAAAAAGAGAGATGGAAAACACCAATTTCGGTGTTCTTAATAAGAGAGATCAACGCAAGCAATGTAAAATTAATTCTCGAGTAGAGAATTAAATTACGGCACCACCTAACTGCTCATTATAATCATCGATTTCTATTTCACATAGTGCAATCTTTCTCTTGCATTGCAACATTCAAGGATCAGCCTCATCGGATGAACTTTTCACGCGGCAATTTGTTTGCACGTAAGGATTGACCTTCTCCTGCAGAGACATTACGCCTGATGTAGTAGTGCAGGTACGCGAAGCTGAACTGTGATTGCCACTGCGTGTTGAGTTTCTGGAGAACAAATCACGATTCTGACAGCCGAAACGTTTTAACAGCAACCGCTTGATTTTCTTCTTCCATACGAATATAATGAAGATGATGAGACCTTGCAGGGTATTTGTCAGATCGGTAAGATACCAGACGTATGGCGGCGCACTCGTGATTAGCCATGATATTATTTCCATAGACCAGTTTATGCCCATCACGATGAATAACTTCAGATACAGATTGAACCTACATGCAAATACATTTATTTTTGTATCTTATGTATATGCATCTTTTATAATTTAGACTTATCAAAACAAGGAATTGTATTATGGACGAAAGCATTCGAAATAATCAATTTTACTAAAGATAAATATCTTCTCGTAATCAAGTTTTAAACTAAAAGAGAGAAAGTGGCTCAGTTTTTCGTAAGAAATTTTGAAGACGTGATTTCCGTTTTTATGAAATAAGGGTAACCACTTTGATTTTATTCGCACGATCGTTTGTCATTCTTTCACGAGAATCACAGACGTTCTCGAGGAATCTCTGCGCGCGCGTTCAAAACGGCGGCAGTGTTTATTGTTTCAAAAGATTTCGTAATTATGAAAGCAAACCGCCGCATGGGAAAGTTGCCGTCTAAAAATAATCATCTTTTACGGGAACGAGGACCGATCGACATTATGCAAAATCGTTTGGAAACTGATATATCGACATATATCATATTAATGTGATTATCACGTATCAGAAATGTAGGTACTACAAACCACTGCTTATTGTCATCGTGGCGTCTGCTTTCCGAGCCTCTCAAATGATGAGCTGTGTCCTTCTTGTGACGCACAATTTTTAATGCTGTAGAGATAAACAAGCAAATGTTGCAGAGAACAGTGACACCCATGGGTCCATAAAAATATAACGCCCTCGCCTCGTCCGCTGAAAATTAATTTCTCGCATTATACGTCGTATTTTGTAAATTCTTAATTTTGACAATTTTCAGATTTCATCGGTTCTAATGAAATGTCACTATCGTTACTATCAGTAAACATCCACTTACTCTTGAACCAGCATTTTGTGACACCAATTTCCGGTCGGATCAATTCCTTTGGCACGCTGGGAACGAAATCCATGATGGCACAAATGATACTGAGAAGGGAAGCGCTTCCCCACGCGTAAATCGAATATATAATGAATTTTTTTCTCTCTCGTTGCTTTACGCTTCCTTGTAACGAACGGAATCCCCTGTAAAATGCGGTTTACATATTATCACATTGAGCCAGCCACAAGTAGAACAAGTTGCAATGCAAATGCAATATTAAAATAAATAACTGTCGCCTTAGGTCGCATAGTTTCTCATAAATATGTTCAGTGCGATTGTTCAGTACATGCTATATAAGCAATGCAACTATGAGACGGATTGAATTCAAATTTAATTTTCTATATTTATTTAAGAAACGTAAACAAAGATCATTTATAAATTCTAAAAGCTATATGAAATATTGTCTTTCAAAGATGTCTTTCAACACTACCAATCTCAATTCAATAGTGGCTCTTTGGACGATTAAGTTTAAATGTTATAGGCTGTATTCGCTTTGGCGCTTACAGCGCTTGTGAATATCAATTGTCTTTGTTTAATATTTGATAAACAATAAGAATGAAACAACGCTTAAAATGTTGTAAGCGCCAAAGCGAACACAGCCATAATGTATATGGAAAACGTAATCTTTTTAAATGAAAATTTTTATATAAAATGATCTATTGTTGCAAAACTATTATTGCATAAGTTAATGATTTTTTCTTTTTAATTGTGGCAATATGTGCTTGGTTTAAATATGGAATAAGAAATGGAACGCATAGAGGAATGGAATAGATGGATATATTAACGATAACATGAAAGAATTAAAACTAAAAGCTGATTATTAAAGTGACACAAATATAAAATCCTACGGAGCCGAAGGATGATTCATGTTTCCGCGAGGACACGCGTGGCGACGGCAATAATGTTGCGTATGATGCGTGTACGCAATAAAGAAGGAAATTAATCCAATTCCAAGTACGATCCACTGCACACACGCTCGACATCCTTGTAATTGATTACAAGAGAACAGGCAATGTGCGTACACATCAGTCGTCACACCCCCAAACGGGCTTGGCGACAACAGGTCAGTTCATCTCCGCACGGCAATAGTAAATAGCGACACGACAATATCGCGTCATGAAATTTCATTGACACGCGAGAGATAATAAATTGCTTTATAGCATTCCACACGAACGTATATAATGACAGTACAAAAAAAAAAGATTGTATGTCGCAGGCGTAACTAAAAATGTATAATTTATATAATGTTAAATTGATTGATTATTGATTGACTGTTAAATTGATCACAATACAAACGATTTATATATTGATCTTCTATCTTTTCTTAATCACATTTAGAAAATGCGTTGAAACGTTTCGTTAATAAACTGAATTGTGTATGCATTAACAAATTTTTATTGTTAAATGAATATATTCGACGTTCATATTCATGCAATTCGTGAATGTCGGTGTTCGAGGATGGCTACTGACATTTTCCGTTCACAAATATTGCCTGTTCGAATAGCTTCTTGGACCGACGTCCAAGCGCGAAGGAGATCAAAATTAACTCGGCTGTGTTTGCGCCACATACGCACGTCGGTCACGTACCGGATATTAATTCGTATCCTGTCGCTATCAATTTCCCCTAGTGTTTGTCAATTATCAAATTTCTTTACCACAAGCGCCGGATCGAGTGGCGCTTGTGAAAATATTTGGCGAATCAATTAACTTGTTTTGACCTAGAACTCGATCTGGAAAAGTTTTATCCTTGATATACCGTAATTAATATTATAATTATAATTAAATATATATATATATATCAAATTACATTATAAAAATTATAATTGTAAATATATATCGAATATGAGTCGATTATGTATATAAAAATAAGATGGTTTTACGAATAATTATCTTCGAGATTCAAATCTAAATATCTTCGTTTCATTTCGTTCCAGAAATATATTGCAAGATTGTCTTTAACAAATCAGTTTTATTGCAGATGAAATGGATAATATGGCTCAATAGTATGGAATATTTTAATAACTTACCCGAATGTCCACCAAATGTCGAAGCACATCACATTTAGCCAGAAGAAGCTTGCCAAAAACGAGAAGTGGATGATGAAAGCTGAAACAATCGAATAAACAGCTATTAATCATGCATTAAAATGCCGATAATAGGCATTTAATAATAATTTTTGTCTATCCTTAAAAAAAATAGGTTTATTTCATTATAAATTTATTAACAATTAAAAACAGTAAAAACCTTGAAAATAATATATGCTATTAAATAAAAACTATCTCAATTTCGATTTAAATTACGTCAAAATCGCGACACAAAAATTTGCTAATTTTCACGAAAGGAAAAAAAGCTCATCCAATGAATTTTTAAATTAATTCTGTATCCAGATTTAAATTTTACTCGGTTATTCATTTCATTTATTTTAATATATAACTTTATATTTCAATTATCAGAGAGGGAGAGAATAATTGACACGCGAATGTACATAGTAAAATAGATGTATACGCTGCATGTATTATTATATGCTGTACCAAATGCGATGCAGGCGGAATACGATATTATAGCCTGATGGGTTAGCTGAATTATTGCGAGAGACGTGTACGCGACGAACAACGAGCCGACGTATCCGCGCAGCGTGTAGCCATGCATGTTCCAAAGCTCCGGTAGTATGGAGTATACCATAAATGTTGCCAATAAAAACGGCAAGGACACTATCAGACCCACTACAGGTATATATTTCTTTTCTTCCGGGACGTCTTCAGCCTCAGACTCGAAACAAACAGTTACATCAAATTTCTCATTATCTTGCCAGACGGCAAGACAGTATAATGTAACGATAGATTCGTTGATATTTGGTTGATATAAAGAGCCATTGCTAAGAAATAAATAATCGTCACTTTGTCTATTTTCAGGTTCAAGCACATAACGTTGGTAGTGGCACGGATCATGAATAGTTAGGGGAAAAATTTGATTCAACGTTTTACCAATTGGTATCCTCTTCGAATCATTTATCATATACTCGTATACATCTGGAAAGGGATAATTAGATTCCCCAACAATGCATTCTTCTTTAATAGTATCATTAATTTGTGTTACTTTCAGACGTTTGCCGAGAGGACAACAAAGCGGAATGCATGTAATGTTCTCGCACATCTGGTAAGGAACAATATTTTTCTCATCTTCATAGAACTTTTCAGAAAGCTTGTACAACGTTAAGTTGCTCGTGTCTTCAACTTGCATCAAGTATAATGTGGAGTTTCCATTGCGTAATGTGGAGTTGTTCTTATCATCAGCCTTTGTAGAATTCGCGCCAAGTTCCATCAGCATTTGATTGCCATCCTCGTGATTCTTCATAGACACATACTGCACCGAGTCACTATCTTCATGGTTGTCACTTGTGGAGTTAGTGCGAAACTCGTATTGCTCGTTATTCTTGGTGGAATTTTTACGTAGATTATACCATATCAACTTTACATCGTCGCTCGTTGTCGTAGAATTTCCCCAAGACTCGGAAGAGGAGGCGACGAATAAAAGCGTGTAACACCAAAGCGCGAGATTTTGTCGACGCATCGTCGACTTGTCGACACGTCGAATTTACTGAACCGGAATCTTAGTTTTCTCTTCAAACAACTTCGTAGTCAGATGTCTAACAACCGCAACGATATCGTAAACTGCGGAAACGAAGATATGCGTGATATCGTCAGTCTGTAAAAAGCCGCGACTGCGATGCTTTTATCCGAAGGACGAACGCAGCAAACGTACAAATGCACTGGGAAGAAAACGATGAAAAAGAAGACACTTCGTTAAAGCAGGTCCTGTTTCGGCTAAAGATGATAGAACAGGGTAAGACCTCTTAAAGGTGAGTCTTATAGTTTGCTTTCCGGAGAATATGAAAAATGTGTGGCATGACATGTTTGCATTTATTTGTTTTTAAGGGCTTTTAACACTTTCTCAGGTTTAAGACGAGCTTCCGGTTCGCCTCGCAACGATCGAGATAAGTTATTACAATTAATGTCTAAAAAATTATTTTAGACTTCATTTTTCAATGCGTATTAAATGCGAATTTCGATTAAAAAAAATATCTTTAAAGATCTAAAGATAATTTCTAAACTAATAAATAAAACAAGGGCAAACGAGCCAACTACAATATAAGATCTCTAATAAACGTATATATATACAATATATATATACAATAATCAAACGTTTCGACACCGATCGGGTCATTTTCAATGTACAATAACAAAACATCTTACATACATAATCAGAAATTCAGTTAAAATATATTGTCCAGTGAGAATTTGGTTATATTCATAAAAAGCAGTCCATATTTAAAACTATTGAAGAGATCACATTCATTAATCGCAAAGCGACGTTTTCTGGCAGGTTCCTAAATTTTAATTCACACCATCCACTGTGTCATAAAAGGGGGGTTATTTACAGTTTGGTCGATAAAATTGTACGGTTGTGTCATCCACGTTTCCAGCAAAACAATTTGATTAAGGCAATAAATATTTTTTTAAGTAATGGCTATCCACTAGATTTCATTTTTTCGTCTATTCAAAAAAGAATAAAGTTTCACATCAATAAAAATGGAATGGTTGAGAAAAAGATAAGAGAAAAATTTTTTACGATTCCTTATGTGAATTCGGTGTCGGAAAAGTTTGCTCCATTAGCCAATATGTGTCATTGTAAATTGGCCTTCTCGATACCAAACTCATTAAATAAATTCATAAAAAAGGGTAAAGATCAGCTAGATCCCTTATTTAATCAAAATGTAGTTTAAGATCTCTTGTGATGATTGTGAAGCCAGTTACGTGGGTCAGACCAAAAGACAATTAAAGACAAGATTGCACGAACATGTCTCCGATATCAATAAGAAGTCAAAATCCCCAACAGTCATCACTTGTCATCGCATTGACCAGAATCATAATTT